AACAAAATCCACCCCCAAATTGGATGATGTCCCCATCATCTGGACTTCTTGAGAGACTGGCGGAGCTTTCTTTCTTCTATTGATTTTATTTTTGTGATGTTGATAAAATTTATTCAGATAATTTTTTTGTGTGATTTTTCATTTTACCGGGAGACTTGAAGTATGTAAACAAATGAAGTGGTTGGGAAGTGGAAGAAAAAGAAAGAGGAGGCAATGGCGGGTGCCAGGGGCTAGTCTTAGGCTCGGGGACGCTTAGAAATTCGATGTAAGAGGGGGCTTTCATCTTGTGCTTCTTGCTTGGTAGAGTCCTCCTTGGTAGCTATGTGTACAGGGGGCCTAACTACTCTAACTAATTTAACGTGGAGGCAAAGACCGTCGGCGGTAGCGCCGTCCAATTCCTCGACTGCGCTGACTGCGGACGTATAGGACAAAAATTCGACGGTGGCCGAGACTGATGTATCCTGGCCATCGTAGTGTTGTTTTAGGGAGCAGCGCATTATTTTGCCAAACTGGCTGAAGGAGGTCATTACGTCAGCCAGACTGGTTCCTTCAGCCAGGTTGGCAATATTGATCTTGGTAGTCTGTTGGTCGGCAGGCATGATGCGGTCGATGAGCGGCATTGAGTCCTGGGTACTGTAGCTGGAGAGCCTAAGTCGTTTCGGGGTCTTTAATCTTACTGAAGACTGAGACGCTTCCGGGTTTTCTGAGCCAAGAGTGTGGGTACAAGTCGAAATTGATAAGCGGAGGGAGCTGGGCTGAGTACAACGAGCGAGAAACTCGTCGGTACTTCTCTCTGGTTAGAAATGAAATCGGGGAAGAAAGGCGCTGATCCGGGCGAAGAAGGCTACCCTGTTAATGAATCGGCAGGGGTGGCTAGACGAAAAGGGTGAGGGGTGGTTGTTGTAGTGTCAAGTCGGGCCTTAGCAACTTCGAGTTACAAACTCGACTTGATTCGGCTTCGTTTGGAGGGGCGAATGTCAGGACTGAACTGAAGGGGAACAGCTGTTCCGATAGCTGCGTGTAAGCGGCCGGAGACGACTGTCTTATTTCTAACGGCTTCCTGACGAAAGGAGCCGTTAAAATTTTAGCCTATTCGATTCGTTTTATCGAGCCCCGAATGGGGCTCCTTCTTCCCTTTTTTGACGATAGACGAGCGACAGCCTTTTTCAAAAGGAGCCACTTCGTTCCGTTTTGAGCAGTCGTTTTGTTTTATCGAGCCCCGAATGGGGCTTGTACCTAAGAGACCAAGAACCAGGAAAGAGAAGAAAAAAAGAAAGGAAGAGAAGAGAGACGGAAAGGGTGCGGCGAGCGATGTGGTACTGTAGCTACCCTGCCGAGGACATAAAAAGAGGGGAGGGAGATCGGTTTCGTTCTCTTCCATCAACCCAGTCTAAATCAACCTATCCCTCGGAAATCCGTTGACGATGACATTCAACACCGAGTGGATACCCGGCGCTACATTTTCTGGGAGTGCTTTCTCTGACTTCGTTAATGCATCCCCTGCGCCTGATCCGCTTCCTTCGAATGACCTCGACGCGGCCCGTTTGAATGACGATGATTCCACCGCTTCCAGCGGTGATTCTAGCGTTTCCGACGATGAAACCAACCTGGCTAACGACGCCGAGGCAGACAATGCTAATGCCGAGGTCGCCGATCTGAACACTTCTAACCCCGTTGTCCTTGCTTCGGATGAATCTCCTCCCGCTTATCAACTCGCGGCACTGCCTCTCGGTTCTCCTGAGAACCCCATCGAAATAGATGATGACGGGACTAATAACGATGAAGCCCTTCTCAGCCCAAGATTTGATGCTGTCGAGATTGTTCCTTTCCGAGCAACAGTCGTGGATGAAGAGGACGTTCTTCGTGCTCGAGAGCGTATAACAAGATGGTTTAATAACCACATTAGACACAACTCTCAACGAGTTCTGCGAGGTCGATCCCGCCGTGCACGCACCGCCGCCGGACCAGTAGAGTCATTTTGGACAACCAGTGAGCTCATGGAGTCGGTTTTAGAAGAGCTGGATGATGTCTTGAACAATGCATCCCGTGTTGAGTTGATCCATGTATAGAGGGTGAGCAGAGATGTGCTGAAAGGAATAAAAAAAATTTTTTTTTTAAATTTTTGGGCTAACCACCCTGACTTCTTTTTTTTTTTTTTTTTTTTTTTTTTTTTTTTCTTTTTTGTAATTTTTAGCTATGAAGTAATGACAGACAGCAGTTGGAGAGCATTATAATGTACAGTGTGTTTATTTAAGGAGGGATACTTTCAGCAACGCTGATGAAATATTTTCACCTGCGGTGCTGCGTACCGTCGTTTTAATGGGGTCCCATCTAGTTCTTCGAGGACGTAAGAGCCGGATTTTTCTTGAGATATCACTCGGTAAGGGCCGTTCCAGCGATTTTCAAAGAGTTTTCCCCATTGGCTTTCAAGGGATCTATTGTAGACCAGTACTAACTCACCAGGACTAATGGGTCCCCGGTCCGCTTTTTGCTTGTTCCAGGATTCCACGGATTTTTCGCGTGTCTCCTTCAATCTCTTGTAAGCTTTTTGAAGAGTTTCTTCCCGCCTTTCAAGTTGATTAGCCCGTGCTGACAAGAGATCCGCCGTACTTGTTACCTCCTCCCAGTCTGTCCCTAAAAATGTTTCCATTTCTAGATCAATAGGTAGAACTGCCGGTTGTCCAAATACTAGTTCGTAGGGCGTGTAGCCAGTTGTCCGTTTGGTTGAAACTCTGTCTGCAAATAAAACAAGTGGCAAAAAACTACGCCATTTCTTTCCATTCGTTCCGCACATCTTGACTAGTGCATCTTTAAGTGGCTGGTGACCGCGTTCTACCATACCGTTGGCTTCTGGATAGTAAGGGGTGGTTATCTTAACTGTGGATCCTCCGCGGGCTATGGTCTCTTGGACTTCTTTTCCGAATTCAGGGCCTCCGTCCATGACGACTACGCATGGAGCGCCATAACGTAAGATCCAGTTTTCTTTGAACCAAGAAGCAACTTTTGCTGCCATAAGTTTCTCGAGGCCTACTGCTTCTACCCACCCGGACAGATCATCCCGTGCAACGAGAAGGTATTTCCAGCTACCGGCTTTAATATGAACTGCGTCCATGCTGACTCGTCCAAAGATAGTATTTTTACCAGTTGCGTGTTTGTGCTCGAGAGGTTTGACCAGGCTACGCTTTTGACAGGCCTCGCAAGATTGAACCCAAGCGCCAATGTTTTTCTTCATGTTAGGCCACCAAAATCGTAACTTGCAGCGTCTATAAGTTTCTTCCACACCTCGATGGCCTAATTCTTCGTGGAGCGTTTCCAGGACAAAGTCTTGATTTTTCTTGGAAGATATGACGAGCTGAGGAAATGGTGTGTTCCTCCTTTTTAATTTACCATCCGAAATAAAAAAAGTGGCTGATTTCTTCAAAATGGTCGTCCATTCTTCTTCGGTGCAGTCCTCGGGTCGATTTAAGGTGAACAAATATTCTTGGAGCTTGGCCCAAATTCCTTCTTGAAGAAACTGCGTGTTGGCCACCCCCAAATTCAAAGAATTGACCTCTTTCAAGCCAAATCCTGCGTGTGGTTTTACCCAAGATTCGTCTTCATCAAATTCGGTAGCAGTCGGTTCGTCCTCGTTGGGTGGACGTCGAGAAAGACCATCTGGCATGGTAAATGTTTTTCCAGGGACATGTTTGAGGTCAAAAGAAAACAGTTGGATAAAAGCTACCCAGCGGGTCATTGGCGCATTCGGAAGGGATGGAGAATTAATCATCTCGATGAGGCTTTTAGCATCGACTAATAGCTCGAAATGTTGACCCCAAAGTTGTGATTGTAATTTTTTTAGAACCTTGGCTACCCCGCAAAGTTCGAGTTTGGACTGAGAATATCGTGACTCCACAGGCGTAAATACTACTGATTCGTAAAGCACCGGGCGGTCCCGCCCATCCACTTCTTGAGTGAGTACGGCTCCTGCAGCAATGTAACTGGAATCTACCGCAAGCTTAATTTTTCCTCCTTTGTCAGAGTAATCGATTTTCTTCAGAGTTATGTCCTGCCCCACGATTTTTTTCAGAGCGTCGAAAGCAGCTTGGCAGTCGTCCGTCCATTCCCATTCTGCGTCCTTTCGTGTGAGTTTTCGCAACGGAGCTGCCAGTTTGGAGAAGTCCTGGATAAACATTCGTACGTAGACACAAACTCCCAGGAAACCTCGAACTTCCGTGGTATTGGTTGGAGTCGGCCAAGTCAGCACTTTGTTAAGCTGTTTCTTTGCAATCCTGCGCCCCTCTTTACAGACTACATGGCCTACAAGTTCCAGAGCTGGGACACAGCAAGCAAACTTCTTTCCCGAGATGGTTAAGCCAGCTTCTTCAATTCTAAAGAGGACTCGTTCCAGAATGACGGCATATTCCCAAATAAAGCGGCGAATTCCGGGGTTTTTGGTCAACTTTTCTTGATTATAATCTGAGACAGGGCCTTTAATTCCGCCGTCGTCAATGAATATTCCCACGTTTTCCGGTATTTCTTCTTGAAGAATCCACATCATCTGGGATTGGTAAACCGCGACTGAGTTGGTGGCTCCCTGTGGTAATCTGGTAAGTTGGAAGCGGCCTAAAGGGGTTTCGAAGGTTGTTAAAGGTCGAGAGCTGACGTCTAATTCACGTTCGTCATAGCCGCCCATAATGTCACCAAGCCCGTAACAAGCTCGGCCGGTGAATGATTCAATCAAATCCTCTGGTGCGGGGGGCAATCCTGCGTCTTTAATTGTGACTTTATTTAATTTTTGAAGGTCGTGGACCACTCGGAGCTTTCCATCCTGTTTCTTGACGCAAAACACTGGACTTGAATAGCTGGAACAAGATTGCTCATAGAGTCCGGTTCGAATCCGTTCTCTAACCAACTCAATGAATTGATCTCTGATGGCCTGGGCAATAGGAATTGGTCTTTGTTGCCACGGCTCATGGGCAATTACTGGGATGATGTAAGGTTTACCGTATGAATGTTTCAGTAACCCCCTCTCTTCTTCTACAAAGGCTAAGGCACCTTCTCGAAGCTTGATGACGTGCTTGAGCAAATTTAACTCTTCATCTGAGAGCCACCCGGTCGGTCCGAAATTTACGACTTTAAGGCGTTCCTCAGTTATTTTAGTAGTAGGCACGAATTCTGGGGGATAAGGCGTGAGTGGAGTAGTGTAAGGATCCCGAGATAGAACTGGAAAACTAAGTGGGGTATTGATATTTTGGGGCATAGGTTCGTTGACCGGTTTTACTTTCTTTGCTGCGGATTTATACTTGGCTGCGCAGACTAACACTCCATCGCTACGTTGCATTTGTTGTTCAAAGACATTTTCTGACGATGCATCACTGGAGGCTGTTACCACGTTTGAGGTTGTAGTTACGTTCGTAGGAAAGGTTGTCTCGTATTCTTGATTAGCCGGAGTAATAATAGGAACCAAGTAAACTCGTCCTTCGTCGTCCTTAATGGACAGACTCTCCCCGCCTTCTCCTGCGTACCGCATAGTTGCTGATACGTCGATCAGGAAGGGTTTACCTAAGATAGGTTGCACGTCTCCGGTGGATACCCAGAAGTGGACTTTTCGAGAGATATTTCCAATTTTAACGCGTACTGATTCGGCTATCCCAAGGATTTCGTTCTTGTGACCACCGATTCCCTTGAGGTTCATTTTCTTTTCCGTAACGATGAGGCCCAGGCGTACCGCAAGATCCTTCGGGAGTACGTTCACCATGGAGCCGTTGTCCAGAAGCGGTTGGACTTCCTTACCGTTTATACCTACCTTTATGTGGCCCAGCGGGCATGCGTAATGGGACCTACGTGGGGCCTCCATTTCTTCCTCTTCGTCGTCGTCTGAGTCCACTCCTCCGGCGTTAGTTACCTTTTCTGGTGGGCCGCCCTCGATTGGGACCTTTCGTCGTGAAATCTTCTTCTTGAAAGCCTCGGAGACGCCATTGGAGATCGCAAAAATTTCACCATAAGAGAGTTCCATTTTGCCTTCCAAGACCATTCTTTGGACGACTCGTTCTTCGGCTTCGGGAAACTCTTTAGACAAGGTCTTTTCCAAGTAAGTTTTCTTGGGCACTTTTTCTTTTGCTTCCGGTGTGGTGACTTCTGGTTTCTTGAACTGAACTTTCTTTGGTACCTCTGCCGCCGCTTTTTCCAGATGCTCTTTGTACCCTGGGAATAGGTCGTGGTTGTCTTGTCGTGCCAGTTCGGTAATTTCTTCCTCGACATCCATTAAGTCTTCGCTATCCTTTCGAGTTTTCTTTGGGGCCGGAGGCCCAGAGACCTCTTTTCCGCTCCTCAACCGTTTGGCGGCGTCAACATCGTAAGAGCTAAGTTTTTCAGGGGTGCACTCTTCCAATTTACCGTAAGAAGTGCGGATTTCTGATGTCGGTTCCTGCTTTTTAATTTCGGTTCCCGGAGGAAGGTTGATGATTCCCGGGGTCTGTGATGGCGTGCAGTTCTTATCCACGACTTCTTTTATGGCGCGTGACCTGTCGGGCTGTACTATGGTTCCATTAGGAAGTTTGAGGTCCTTTCCTTCGCGGTAAACTTTTTTGTCGAATTCGTCCTGGGCAAATAAACTGCATCGATACACCGTGTGTTTATCCCCAAAGCAATAATGGCATTTTAAGGTCGACGGTGGTCTCTCGTATTGCGCCGGCCTGTAGGGTACGTGGCTGGCTGATATCACGGGGCCTTTCTGGACGTTCCATCCTGCTAAGGTCTTGGTTAACTCCTCGACAGCTGGATCCTTTCGTGGCGTATTTGCTGGGGCTCGTGGCTGCGCTGGTTGATTGGCGGCCGGTTGCTTTGCCGGGGGATCCTCTCCTTCTAAGATTGAGATGGTCTTGAGTTCACGACTGATATATTCCATAATAGTTAGGTACGGCGGCAAAATGTGGGATCCATCCACCGATAAGCGCATTTGGTTATCTCTGATAAGTTCCTTTGTGACTGAAACCTTAATTGGATGGACCAGGCAGTTTAATACGGCGTGTCGAATTTCCTCTGCGTTACCCATGTGTTGGCACCGGACGAGGTAAGCCACCAAGTTATCTATCTTGATACGGAAATTTTGGAACTCCCTTTGAGTCTTGATACCGGATGCGCGTGTTGTTGCTAGGAGCTGATCCAAATCGTTCCTCGTATGTTTCAGGAGCGGCATCATCTTACCCCAACGTAGCACCATCCGTTCTTTCAATTTTTCCCAGTCGTGGTTCTCCTTTTCGGCCATTTCCTGGACTTCTTTTACCAAAGTCTCGCCTTCGAGGAAGAAAATTATCTGAAGCGCAATGTCGGATCCTAGGGCGCCATCTATCTGTGCGGCGTATTCCAGGCGCTTAATAAAATCGCTGATGTCCATGTTAGTACCGTTGAACATTAGTCCTTTAGATTGGGACTTAATCTTGACTGGTTTTCGTCCGAATGGCTCCGGGTTATACGCCGGCAGCACGACACGGCTTTCCAAAAAATGAGGACTTGGTAGTATATTCCCCGCTTGGCCATGACTCGGGAAACCATGACCGGGCAATCGAGATCCTGCAGAGTGCTCTGACAACGCCGGGTTCGCAGTTGGGCCATCTGAAGACGAATTTTCCGAGACGTTGTTTTGGTCGCGGAATGGTCCGGGGTTGAGAGGTAAGTTGTTGGATAATTGTCCAATATTGGACGAGTAGAGGTTTATAGGAACTGGCTGGTTACGGTAAGACATTTCTAGAAGCTATGAAGTAAATCTAATCTAATTTTTGTGTGTGCTTTTATGAGTTTTGAGGTGCGGAAAAAAAGCGAGAGATAGTGATGATAGTAATGTAAGGAAAAGATTTTTTTTTTTTTTTAAGGGTTTTGTATCTTAAGATTGTAATGGATAACCAAAACGTGACTGTTTAATCTAGAGATCGTCAGGCCACTGTTGGGACACCACTTGTGGAACTACCCGGTGGGATCAGATAGAGTGTGGAAGGGTAAATGCGCCGTGAATAAGGCTGCCCTCCGGTAAAAGGTGATAAGGTAGTAGACAAGGAGAGTTCAAATACTCTCTGAAGATGTGGCGGACAATTTCTGACTAGCAAGGTGTGATAATATTTTCTAAGTACTTTACCTGAGGACTTTACCTGAGGACTATGACTAAGGACAATAACTAACTAAGTGACCAGGCTGAGCACGTCAGGGAACTGATGAGGGAACAAATGATGAGGGGAGAACATGGCTCCTTATATACAAAATCTGGGGAGTGGCCAGCTTGTGGTTTGAGAAAAGGATCAAGTGAAAAATATCAAACTGAAACACTACGGCCCAGAAGATGGCTGCTAAGGTCAAAGAGGACACAATGACATAGCCTGCTTTCCCAAAGGGTGCATAAGTCTGAGACGCGCATAGCCACATGCAGGCGCATGCATAGAAGTAAGAGACTAATCCCCAAGTGGGTGCATTAGTGTGAAACAGAAAGATAAGAGAAAGAGGAGTGCATATGCAGCAGCTCCAGAAAGAGAAAGAATGAAACAAGAGAAATCAAGGAGGGTTCCTAATACCCTGGCTCTGTCTGAGGGGTGACTTTCTTCCCCCCACGTGTGGTCTGGGTGCCTTGAGATTTCTATCTTGAGGACCAAGGTGTTTGGGGTCTTCTTGTCCTGATTGTGCGGTGCATGGTGGCATTGATGTTTTGATTTGGCTCACCACAACGTGTGGACCAAGGACGAAGGCGACTCGACTAACGATATCGATAACGATCTAATTGGTCCTTTTTCGTTTGGATTCTCGTCATACAATCTTTCATGTGGTATACTATTGACAACTAATACGATATTGAGTTTGCTGGTTTTTTCTGCTTATTCGCTCTCAGGCCAAAGTTGTTTCGAAAGGAGATAGGATCTTATTTTCGGATACGTTCGAGTATAAACAGGTTTGGTCAACTCCACACTAAATCCGATCTGCTTGAGCTTTACTCCTCAACTCAAGACGACCTCAGGCCTTGATTGGAATATGGATGTGAGTACTCTGGTCTGTCTAAGACGAGCAGATGCCCCGCTGACCTCAATTGATTTTTGTATCTCGCGATCCCAAGAAGATGGTTTCTGATTATCAGTTTCTTTCCCTGCTTCGTTTGGTAGTCAAGCCTCATTGATCGCTTGGTACGAGGACGATCTGGTGGTCATTTTTCTTAGTTATCTGGTCAGTCAGTCCTGTCTATGTCGACTGAGGCCACAGCTTGGTATTCAGAGAGATACCGACCTCGAGTTGAACTGATTGAATCTCGAGGTTGATCTGCATAGTGGAAAGAAGGTCGACCTCGAGCTGGAGGAGATTCCACTTCATGCCTTACTCATTTCTCCATAGGGGATATCAAGTAAAATTTTGGGGGATATGGGGGATACCTAGTAGTGATCACTTTTTTACATCTCCCCCATATAACACCCAAATGATGAGTAATATAACAGTTATAATAACAGTTATAATAACAGTTATGTCAAATAACATCTGTCATTTTTGGTATTATGTATACAATACTAGCGATAAAGAGCAACATAACACCCCAATGATTAAGTGGCATATAACACTTATAACAGCAATCTTGTCATGTGACACAATGATCTACATATAAATAAAAAAGCAGCCTCAGAGGGACAAACAAACTTTCAGCCTTCAATAGGTATTTGTATTGATTTCTTGTGCGGCTTCTAACGCTGGCGTCTATGTTGCACATTTCAATGTCATTTCCAACATTCACTAAGACTTTACAATCATATTGACCCTCAAAAGCAAAGGCTATTACACCATAGGACCTTCAAACAAGTAAAACCCCCAACATCCGGGGCAAAAACAAGCAGCCTCCCCAAATTTGGGGGCATATACTAGTAGAGTGATATATAATAATATATCAATTATTTCTTATAACATCAGAGTCAAATTATAAAATGGTATACTTGAAGTGATAGATATAACTTGCACCTGAGATATCAATAAGTAAAAAGTCAATTTCAAAAAAAAATACTATTAATATAATCAACTATAATTATGGAAGGTGACAGGGCCACCTTTGGCTTCTAGTAGATTATTAACTATATTAATGTTCTAAATATTAATTGAGGCAATTGCTACATGAAATGATTCAACACGAGTACCTTCCATCTTGGGGTCCAAAGCATCCCTTTCAATCAAAGATTGGGTACCTAGCCATGACTCATCATAGTAAGTGATTGGTAGGCCTCTTGCAGCTGCCACAGCACCAATCTTAGGTTGTGGAACACGCCTGCGGAATCTTGGTGGTGGTGTGTTTGATTTGGACGTGGAATATTTGACCCGCCTGACTTTTAGTTGATCAAGAGCTATCATGAGTTGTTGCACTCGAATATGGCGCCAAGGAAGCTGACGGACAACACAATACTTCTTTTTGTGTTTAGAGCCAGATGTGCAGTTTGAGGGAACAGCTGGTGCTTCTTCATCAGTCTCATCATCACTACAGATAGCTGGGATAATTGGTACCAAGCGGATAAGAGATGGATGGAGCATAGCCTCATCTTGTCGCCATTTTATCAACTAAAAAGTAGAATATATCAGTGGGTCTATCTCATTAAACATTTTATAGCCAAATACAAACACAAAGACCAATGTACTTACATTTGAACGTCGTGTGTTGCGTCTGCGGCGAGTCACTGCTGAGATTCTTCTCTCTTCAGTCCAACTGTTTGCCTGACGATACCTGTAATTCAAGTTTGTTAATAGGAAGAATTGCATTCAAAGTTTATTGTCAGGGATATACTCACTCGCGCATCAGATGTCCTTTGACATGAGTTCTAAAAGCCCTATTCACTTCTTTTTGGATACACATCTCACTTGTCAGACACTCGTATTCTCCTGATCTGACCAATCTGTAAAATGTTTGAATGGCAAGATTCCAAAGAAAGCGATTTGATGGAGTTGTCATGGCTTCAGCCAGATTAGGTCGAAAAGATTTGACATTGCAATTGCGCATTGTGCGCCACAGTATCCTGAGGGCCTGAGGAGATGCAGCCGGATGTCCAGGGCCATCAGGATACGGGAAGCTGGGATCTAGGTCCACCTCCATCTCAGATTCACCATGGACACTTAAGTCCATAGCTGAATCATCATGAAAACTTTCATGGCTTTCATCGTCCAAATCATCCACAATGTCACCCCTGTCGATCCATTGTCTTCGTTCCTCAGGGGTAGCAGGTGGGGGGAAATTGCCCTCGTAAAAACACTTGCCAAACAACGTGGCAGAATGTCTCCTTACTGCAGCCTGAAGATAAAGTTAAACATTGTGATCAACATATTGAAAGCAACTGATTGTGTTTCTCAACTTACAAGAAGATCAGTGTTTTGGGGCCCTTCTGGTCCCTCATCATCACTATCAGACATATATTCAGGTTCCGGATGATGGTGTGCAGTATGGATTCGAGGAGTTTGCCTTCGTGAGGAAGATGGCGGGTGCTGGATGGCAGAAAATTGTGCTGTTGGCAGGGACGACTGGAGTGCCACAGTGAGCTTGCTGAATCCCTCAGTCATTTTGGAAATCGCATGGGAAAACAAGGAATTTCCTTCCGCAGAGGTTAAAGCAAGTGTTTCAATTGAGGAGACAAGTCCCCGAATGTGCAAATCAACAAGATGATTTTCAGGGTTCTTCTCAGTTTGGTTAGCATTGAATACACTAGATGCCCGATCGACAACAGGCTGGGTTTTTCTCAGGTTTTGTGGGTGGCTAGAGGGTGCCTCTTGTGGGATGTTGTTTGGAGTCGTATTAACATCGGTACGGCTTGGTTCTTCATTGCAATTTGTTTGAATAGATGACGTTAAAGGCTGCATGTGATCAACCGGCATAGGTGAGTTGTTGACTGAGGTACTTTCTTCCTGTTCAATGGTGATGTTGGTATTGTTGGTGACATCGGTGACAGCTATTGGTGATTGGAAAGGCTCGGCAGCTGGGCTTTCAGGAATTTGAGAATTCTGTGCAGTTTCGATCAACTGTTGACACAGTGCGCGTAGAGTTGGCTTGAGATCTCGCTTGCCGTATGGAATTTGAAATTCATCAAGGACATCTTTTAATTGTTGGACTTTCATTGTTTTGGGATCTGGTCAAGGATCAAGGGTAGTTCAGCAAGTGTTATTAATTATTAATTAAAAATGATGAGGAACACACCAGGCAAGTTGAGCAGCCGTAAGTTCCTAGAAGATTGCTGAGCAGTACTGATATGAATAGGTGGTGGCAGAGCTGTATTGTTGGAAAGCTGAGAAGTGCCGGTGAAAAGTACTTGTGCTGATATTTCTGTTTCACTTCCGGAATCGTTAATGCTGACGCGGTGATTTGTGGCCTCTCCCAGAGTTGCTGATGGCGAATCCACCATGTCCATTATATCAGTTAGTATTATATCTCGATTATTCTGGGGTTGGGCTGGCAAATTTGATTGCGTTTGCGGTGATAAAACAGGTTCGACAAGGTTTGGAGGAACAGGCCCGGTTGAGATGGAAGATGTGGATGTTTCTGTTGATGATGGAGAATACGGAAAATCAGAAAGGATGTGATGGGAAGATTGTTTTGGAGATGGAGGTGGGGGTGGAGATGGACTCGGAGACAGAGGCGGAGATGGAGACGGAGACAGAGGCGGAGATGGAGACGGAGACAGAGGCGGAGATGGAGACGGAGACAGTGATGAAGATGTAGATCGAAGCTCTGGAGGTTCCTGATTATTAAGAGGTTCTGTAGCTGTGTGTTCTCCAGAAGTAGCAGAGGTAGCACTTGGATGAGGATCACAGTTTCTTGGATAGTCTTGATGTTCTGAACAATCTGAAATACGGGACACCAATTGGTTTTGCTCATGAGGATCGGTGATTGCATTGTTTAGCAAGTGGGTGCTGTCAGCTGAGCTCCAATAGCGAGTCAGTGGTTGATCATCGAAAAGTTCTGGATTTTGCCTATGTCGATCAATAATTGGATTGTTTAGCAAGTGAGTGCTGCAGTCTGCTGATCTCTGATAGTTATCCAGTGGTTGATTATCGATAAGTTCCAGGTTTTGATCATGACGATTGATGATTGTATAATTTAGAGCGTGAGTGCTGTCCGCTGAGATCTGATAGCGAGTTGGTGAGTGAGTCGGTGGTTGATCATCAAGACGTTCCAGGTTTTGCTTATGTTGATCGATGATTGGCTTGTTTAGCAAGTGATCAGTGCTGCAGTCTGCTGAGCTCTGATAGATATCCAGTGGTTGATCATCGATAAGTTCCAGGTTTTGCTCATGACAATTGATGATTGTATCGTTTAGCAAGTGAGTGCTGTCTGCTGGACTCTGATAGCAAGTTGGTGGTTGATCATCAACAAGGTCTGGTTTTTGCCGATGTTGATCGATGATCGGATTGTTTATTGAGTGAGTGGAGTCTGCTGAGCTCTGATTGAAGTACTGTGGTTGATCGTTGATGACTTCCATATCAACCTTAGACTTTTCCTTGTGACCGATTCTAATTCCCTCACTCCCAGCATTAGAGATATTGTCGTCCAAGCTTTCAGATACGCTTCTGGGATAGTCGCAACATTCGGAAGAACCTGGCGCGGTCTGAGATGATAATAGAGTCATCTGGATTAATTTTTTGGTGCTATCTACTGATCTGTGATCAAAATCCGAGGTTTGATCTTTGACCACCCCCAGCACACTTGGCCTTCGATCGTCTATCTTCGTCTGACCGTTCCGCGGAAGACTTGTCTGAGCCAAACTAGCAAAGGTAACCGTTTCAATTCGAACCAGAGGGCCAGTTTGTGTGAGTGAATTTTCAGCTGACAGACATTCTTCTACAGGATCAACTGAGATTGGTATTAAATGATCTGTAAGCTCTACTGAGTTGAGCTTTTGTGCATCGGCTGTGTGGTTAAGAAGTGGGACAGGTTGATCAATTTGATTATCAGAGCTTCAGCTGTAACATAGATCAGCTCACCTAACAAGAGATCTTTTCCTTTATTTTCATCACCCTCATTAGATTGTGCACGACCCCGACCCGTCAAATGATGTCTTTCAACATCAACCTTGGCTGAGTTATCTTGAGCTTGATTGATCACGTCTAGAGTCGAGTCACAGGAGCCATTTTTGTTCTTCTGGCTGATTGTATCAAAATTCAAGCCGGCTAACAGGGTTTTGTATTCTGAGTATGGCAAAGGAGGAGTTTCATGGCTTCTGTCGCAGATTCTGGGTGTCAAGTCTATTAAGTTGGTTTCAACGGTGCCTGTACTAGGGTCTTCGTTGTTCAATGGTGGTTGTTGACATTCAATATCGAGTAGTCTGTCACCGTTGTGATAGTAGCTGTTCAAGTTTGATTGATTTTCAGGCAAGGGTTTACTGGCTGAATCGTTGTTGCAGTGAGGTGGTGGAAGTGGTGATAATGCGCTGTCGTCTGTCTGTTGAGCAAGAGTATGTGAAGCAGCTGGAGGTTGTTTGTTGGGGTTGCTTGATGACTGGGTTGTATTATTCACTGGGCTATGACAGGTGAATTCGAATGTATTAGAGATTTCTGAAGTGTTGTCTGATACTGCTGTAGTTTTTAAAGTCTCGTGATTTCTAGCTTCTGGGTTTCTGTGACGTCTAGATCGAGGTGGAATCCTATGAGGTTTCTGGATGCGGGTTCGTTTACTGGTAGGCGGAGAAGTACAATCCTGTCACCGAGAACAACTCACAGTTAATGCTATATTTCCTGTGCTGCTTCAAATCAAATGATCATAACGTAGAAGCACCATGGACTTACTTTGCTAATGCTGATATAAGTACTGCCGTCTGGCTCAGGAGAGGGTTTTAGTACAGGCTCATCTGCCGAGTAGTTCTGAGCTGCAGAGATCCTTGCCGAGCGTCTAATTGGTCGACCACCAGGACCATCTTTCTGGGGTTGATTGATGTACTTATGCACTACGTCTTCATGCAGTGTACAGTTGCGAGGTTTAGTTTTCTTGCGTAAGGGCTCCTCCTCCGGGTATTCCTTGTAATCCAAATCCTCATCCCCTCCTAAGAATGGTAAAAAAAAGAAGTGATTCAGTGATGCATGTTCTAGGATGTTACTTCACCAATTGAAAATTTGAACTCACTTCGTCTTTTTTTTCCAGAAGTGTTATCGGTGGACTTATGTTGACGGATTGCCTTGAGGCTGTCATAGCGTTTCATTAGCGATGGGCGGGAGGCACCTTCTGGATAGCTTATCTTGTATAGCTCAAGCACAAGCTTGAGGGACTGTTGGTCCAGTGTGCTTGACGCTGATTATCAAAAGCCATAATTCAAGAACATATAGTCATGTTTTTTACAAGTATCAAAGATTGATGTGAAAGTGACTGGACTATGTGGTGAAATTTAAACTTACCAGGCCAATGTGTGTCATCATTGCGGATGCGGCCAGCAAGGTGTTGTTTGTAAAGCTGATGAACAACGGGCGGCTGATAGCGTGTGAGACAACGGATCCCGTTGAATTTGAGAAAAAATCTCAGCTGTGGAATTGTGAAAACGGCCGGATCTGCAAGTACAAAGTTGTAAACACGTTCTCTTATTCAGTTCAAATGGGGATCAGAGTGCAAAATTTTGTTTGAAGCAGGAAAATCTGATGGATAACTCACCAGCAGGCCACTTGCGGGCTAGCACCAACACAAATAGCAGCAGGAAAAATAAAGTCAGTGTTTAATTGATGCATAAGAATGTTAGCATTATCAGCTAGTGAGTTACCTAGCATTTCACCAAGAGGCATGTTGGCTGAAGGCTTTTTTGTCGGACTGCTTTCAACTGACTGGATGTTATTGATGATGATGATGATGAGTCGCCGTCTTTCGAGTCTGATCCGGTGGAGGAAGAGGATGATCAATGGCTGTTGAGGTTGAGTTTAGAGTGGCCTTTGGAGTCAATGATCCCGGTGAAGTTAGTGATTACTCAAATGACATCAATAAACGAAAGAGCTTATGAATACAGAAAAACTGATTTCTTCTGCTCACTTTCTGGTCACGTATTTAAGTACTTATAAAGTATGTGCAGTGAGTTGATCGGCAGCTGATATCAAAATGGGATTTTGGGCAGATGGGAAATGCTCCTACTATAAATATATGCATTAAACCTTATAGGTCTGCATTGACGTACTACATGTGTATGATTCTGTTCGACAGAATTTCTCTTTGGTGCTTCTGGAATCATTCCTTGAAAAAATATGTAGCCTCAGAGTGCCAAACAAAGCGTCAAGTTTTCTAACGCCAGTGTCGATCTCCAATTCACAATTGTTGCATTTGTTGACGCTGGCGTTAGACTGAGACAGACAGGTGTATAATTCAATCAAGCCAATCATTGGAGGACTTCCCGTCGCCATTTAGAGTGCTTTTTAAGCCCTCCCCAGTCTTAAATTAGCACCCCAATCATAATTCCAACCAGCTCATGTGAGAGCTATCTTCACCAGGCTTGCGAAAAAACAATTTTTTATGCCAAAAATTAAGATCTAGGGGGTGTAAATTCAATTCTGGGAGGGTTGTAAACCGCGACGGGAAGACATCCATTAATGTGTCTTTACACGGTCGAAGTGTACTTCAAATTACACTGTACAACAAGTGAGTTGTCCAGAGTACTTTCTTTGACCCCGCACAGGATGATGACAAGTGACCAAATCTCCCGGAGACAGGACACTAATAATTTCTGGATTAATCCAGAAATTGATTATGTTTTGCTTTTTCAGTAATTTCAATCAATGAATCCATTTTGTTGCTTTGATTGGGTAGAAAAAAATAAACATCGTACTGAGTTAGGCAGAAAGTGGCTGAGAAGTAACTGGAGGAACAAAAGAATAATCAGTTGGCAGTAATCAAACAGATTTGAATTTGTTTAATATGAAAGAAAACAATAGGATAGAATCCAGCAGACAGGAATTCAGAAAAGTTAATCAATTGGTACCGGAAAGAAATAATATATTTTGGTTTAACTGTCAAGTCAGGTAAAATCATGATGGACAGCTGGAAATAATCACCTTGCCATCGATGAAGAAGGCCAGTACAGCATTGAGTGGAATTGAATGGGGAACAATACTACTACAAGGCAAGGTTGGATAATTTATAACGTGATGTGATGTTTGGGGCCAGATGGAAAGAAGTTGGCCCAGTTTAGGACAGTGAAAATCAGCACAAATAACTTCTGGTACAGTATGATAGCCAGAGTAGATAGACCAAGCATATGTAAAACAACCGTATTTCAACTGCTCATGGATAGGAAGTATTTGGAATCGACCACAATCCTGATTTTGAGTTAATCTTTGTTGCAATTGATCTTTCTCAACATCCGTTAACCAGACTCGAAAAAACCCTCTCGTAAAAAGTTGCTCCACAAGGCTTTCGAGCTTTTGATCAGCAAGCCATTTGGACAACACTGTTCTCAATTGCATCAATAAAAGTAAAAACATGAATCAGTTCAACTTTGATTGGCAGCTTTGGAATAGGAAGATACATTTCCCTAGAAATAGGACTTACTTCCGGATTCTTCTACCAATTTTCTTATTACAACTTCTTCAATTTTGTTTTTCTCGAATGATCCTTCCCCTGATATATTCGTGTTCCAAGTGGGCAATTTTAGCTAGAAATTAATATACAACAAACAATAAAAGCTGGTGGTTCTCACCGTCTATAATTAATTGTTCACATTTTGAATCCGGTTGCCTCACAACTTCCTCCTGGTGCCAATGCTTTGCCATATAACGCAAACATTGTCCTACACATTCCATTAAATTCAGTCGTTCTATTATATTCAAGGATATTGTGCATTCAAACAGCTCTCCTAATTGTATAAAGCAGCAAGGAGATTGCAAGAATAATTAATGATTAATTATAACATATTATACGGTGGATACATGATTTAGTTGGAACGTACCATCAGTTCGAATAAATATGGCATGATCAAGTCGTTTAAGAAGTTGAAAGTCGACAGGTTCTTTGAAAGGTACATATTGTTCCTGCCACTGGATCGCCAGCTTGACCATTTTAGCACCAAACAACTTCTTTAGTATCACAGGACCCAACTTCACCATGTCATTAATCAGAATCACCCCGTTTAGATTTTTAAAGTCATATGAGTGTGATTTAGTCATTGGGTTATAATAGGATTCAAGGTGCATAATATATCAAGTGATGTTGTTGGAGAATTTATATTTTACGATCAGTGTTGAAATTTTTTTATGGGAATGACTGGCTTCAATGCCCAATATTATAAGGGCATACAACAAGCTTTTTATGATGTCCGTGTAGCCAGAGAAATTGACGGCAATAAATTATTGCCGGATTCATGATGTCTGCAAGGTATCCATCTGCAAGCCTATTTTCCCCAAAATTTCCAAAGATAAGAAATTTGCATAGATCTTGATCATTGATCAAGATTAAACTCGTATCAATCCAAGCATCTGATACAAGTTAATCACAATAGCATACAAAATGTGATCACGTCGCAGCACCGGTTGGCAATTTAGAATGCTAATTTCAGCCACATTAAGTGTATTTTGATCGCACCATCGATTGATATTGAGATGGAAATAAATTCCAATCAGATTTAACATCGTCTCAATGTCGATCAATATCTTCTTTTCCATCATCTTTTTTCTAGAACGTACGACGATCAATACTTGTATAAGGTTCAATAATTAGTCGGCTGATAATTAGGGATGACCTCGGCTGACATGTTCACGAAATCAGCCACACATTTATGAAAAACCAATATTACCAAAAAGAGCTAGCAGGCCAACAAAAACTGATTAGCCACCCATAAAACCTTAAATTTTTCTGTATGCCTCCAGAATGTTTTGCTATTGAATCTTTGGAAATATGGCATGCATGAGCTGATGCAATGGCTGAGAAATATATCTTGAAGGACCAAAATCTCGATCATGAACTGTACGATCAGGAGCATGCCGAAATTTTCTTGATCGCTGTTGCTCAATGCCACAACCTGCCCTAACTAGCTGGGTAGCAATAGCGATCAGTGTGCATAACCTGCTCTAACTGGCTGGGTGGTAGTTCATATACCTATCAATTTAATATTCCTAACACAAAAAGTTTCGAGCTGTTATCCTTCATCATCAAATTGAGACGGTTATCTTCTTCAGTGCTAGTTAAACTTATACAGACTGCATAATGCTTCAATCAATCAATTTCGAGGAAATGCGCTGTTTTTTTCTCATTGGTCATTCTGAGAAGATGAGCTTGAGCTCAATCCGCAACTTCTTTCCTTCTACTGGCATTGTCAATTCTATTATCACTCAAATGCACGAACGAGTTGCCCTTGCATTCAGCCAACGTCCTGAAACCACTTCCCCAGAAAATCGCCAGTACGACTATTATCCCATTGTTTTCATTTGGGCCAGTGGTATGTTATATATCAGAGATTCATAAAATCGTAAAGGCAGTGAAAGTGAGGTTGAAATGATATTAATTAATTTTCTTGCTTCTAAATATACTTTTGTAAACAGGTTTTATTTCTACAGGCCTTCTATCGTTGACAAAGGAAGATAAATCAATCGTGATTCAGGCGCTCGAGCAAAGTTTGGCCATTTGCCTCAAAGAAAACATTGAAGGTTCCGAAGAAATTGCTGGTATGCTAATTCAACAATATTATAAGCTCCTATCTCCAAGAGAAATCTTGACAAGTTTCTGATTGTTATGTTCATTGGCTGTTTTTAGCGCAATTCGGCTCTTACTTTGTAAACGGCAACACACATGGATCAGACCTTGACACGAGTGGTTTGACCGGCATTGTGTTAACTGCGATGGAAACTGAAGCATTCAATAACAAGCGTGTAGCCCTGGGCCTCAAACCTATAACTCGTTACTACAGGGAGCAGACAATGTCTTTTCCCATTCAAAGCCAACAAACTGGCGGCACCACGATCATTGAGGTGAAGTATCACCTAGCTCTAGATGGATTACTTATTGCCGCAGACAATTATTCGAAATTCTATATGAACTTTTTTTCTGGATACTGCAGATTTACTTAGTAGTTGTGCTCGATCAATGATAAAGCAATTGAAATTAGAATAGGGTTAAAATACGGATTTTGCTCCAGTTTTACTTTGTTTTCAAGAGGTTCCAACAAAATTTTTATGTACTGTCAAGCAAGAACATTCTTGCAGTATGCACAAAGTGGCACGGTAAAGCCACACAATGTAGGTCCCTGTACATCTGCATGTAGGAAGGTCAAGGAATCACAAAGGTTGAGAAAGATTCATGGTTGGTAATGTTAAAAGGCCTCCGTGTCAGTGAGCTCCAACTTCATTGTGAAACCTGCAAGACGGTATCCCTCCTCCAAATAAAGACAGACTCGTAGTAATTTTCATTTGACCAACCTCCAGCCAACATCTCTCCACCCTCACTATCCAGTATCCAATTCCATGTCATCAAAAGTAATATGCACATGTATTGTTCGTGGTTGTTCAAGAAGAAATTACCTGGACCCAGTCACTCGTGCCCTTGCCCCAGGCCAGCGAGTTTGCCCTGCCACTCGCAATGCCCACCTTGCGTTGGAGGACCAAAACATCGGTCTAATCCGAGCAGCAAACAATCCAGCTGGTATTTTATATGATCAAAAATCAAAATATCAATATTTCAATGTGAATTTGGAGCAAAGCTGACCCAGCCGTGATTTCGTTATAATTGTTTGTAAAAATTATGAATTTAGAATCCTCTGATCATGATCATCAGTTCAGTGACCTATACCTGGATAGGCCTCAAGAAGATCTGAATATCTCCGGTTCCAATTATGATGATGCTCTGCAAGGAATTCAAGCACTATCATTCCAAGATGGAGAACAGAATAATCAAAACAATGATCAAGTGGCAGCCAACTCGTATGATTGTAGTAAGTTTTTGGACATCAGTGCAAAACTGTTTGTAAACTCTAGGTACCAGGTGTTATGATCTAACCAGGATAGTATTTGCTTGCAGCTCCATTCTTTATTGATCATCTCAATCGCAATCCAATGCTCCTCCTGGTCAGCCTCAAGACCGCCCTTTTCTACGTTACCTCACAGTGTTCTCTTAGCACATTATCCTGTCTCCTGCAACTTGACCGCCAACTTGTCGAAATCGTTGCTTCATATGGCATGACAGCTAGTACTCCAGCTCGGGAACTCAGCCATGCTGAGAAATTGATACTCAAATCATTTCCCGGTGACCCTCGAGCCATAATCCGACACTTGGCAATTGACCCACAGCTGACTTATCTTGTCTGCTGCTCCGACTGTTTTGCCATGTACCCGGACGATTCCACGGCTCCTCAACGCTGCTCTTATCGTCGTTTTCAAACCATGAAGCCTCAGCCAGGTCCAGATGGAGGTACTGCTGGCCAAGATCAAGATGATCCTGGAGATCCAGCACATCATGGGGAGCAATTTGAAGAAGGCGATCCATTTATATGCGGTGCTGAACTGTTCCAGGGAAGCGGGCTAAACCGCAAACCAATCCGTCGATTTGCTTATCAGAACCTAGATGCCTGGTTAGCCCGTTTTTTTTCGAGAGAAGATATTGAAGATGCCTTGGTACAGACTGCCGCTCGATCAAGTTCCCCATACGATCCTGCCATGGAAATGGAGGATATTCAAGATGCACGTGTGTGGAAGGAGTTTTGTGGGCCTAATGGGCAGCAATTCACAGCTCATGATGGAAATATAACTTTTGGCATGTTCATGGACGGGATCAACCCTTATGGAAACCGTCAAGCTGGAAAGCATTTCTCAGTTTCTTTTATCATTATGGTTTGCCTCAGCTTACCGGTTGAGCTTCGCTACCTGCCCGAAAATATTTTTTTGGTGGGCATTGCCCCTGGGCCCAAAGAACCATCACTGGAACAAGTCAATTCGATTCTGAAACCCTTAGTTGAAGAACTTCAAAACATGTGGGACCCAGGCCTGTTTCTATCAAGAACCACTCGACATCCACAAGGCCGACTTGTTAGAGCAGCTTTGCTTCCATTTTTCGCAGATCTTCCTGCCCTTCGTCGTGCACTTGGATTTGCTAGTCATAGTGCAACACGCATGTGTTCGGTTTGTTTGCTTGAAAAGAAAGACATCAATAACATCAATCCCGAATCATGGCCGGTACGAAACCTCACTGATCATCACTACTGGGCCAATCAATCACGTGAAGCTTCAAATGCCAAATCCAAACTCCGAATTCTTCGAGATCATGGGGTACGATACTCAATTTTGCTGGAGCTTCCTTACTGGAACATTTTAGATTATCATGTAGTCGATGCCATGCATAACTTACTCCTGGGACTCCTAAAATGGCATTGCCAAAGATTCTGGATTATGTCGGATACCGATGATGAGAAACCACCTAAATGTGTTCCAGTACGCGAGCTTCGTGAACTAGAGAAAGAGCTGGAGAACGAACCTCATCAACAACCACCTGAACCAATCAATGAACGCCCTCCCACCCCACCACCCGAAGGGATACCTTTTGAAGATATTCTGTTTGGAACTATTACCGATCCTAGCGATACCAATTTTACACTGAGTAATTTTGAATGGGATGGGAGTTGGGTACCTCCATCTGCAGGGAAGATTGTGTTTGACACAAAAGTTTTATCTTATATCAACTTACACCTCAAGAAAATTCACATTCCAACTTGGATCAAGCGAGCTATTCCTGTTCTGGGAAAGGCATCATTTGGAAGCCTTAAGGCAGATGAGTGGCGAAATCTCTTCACCATCCAGCTGCCTTTGATCCTGCCAGTGTTGTGGAATACACCTGATGCCTCGTCAAAATCGTTGTTGCATAACTTTTCTCATCTAGTATCGCTTGTCAACCTTGCACTTAAACGATCAATGAGCAACGCACACATCTCAAAATACCGGCATCACGTTCAAAAGTACTTGGAGACCAGCTTGATTCTGTTCCCAGATACGCCCTTGGCCCCAAATCACCACATGGCAAATCACTTGGCAGAAGGTCTGGAGAAATTTGGTCCTTGTCGCGCATGGTGGTCTTTCTCGATGGAGAGACTCATGGGAAACATATTGAAAACTACTTCGAACAACCGACCAGGTGAGTTGAATCTTTGGTTGTATACACTTATATCATGAAATCACTAATTCAAAAATTTAATCTCCAGGCGAACTTGAGATAACTTTCACAACAAATTTCTATAGATTAACAAACCTGAGAGCCCTGCTCCTAAATTCTAACATTGCTCCGGAGCTAGTACCTTTTATTCGACAAGTCAAGGCTTTGTATGACCCAATCCCATTCACCCGTAAAACAACCCCTCCCACAAGCTCATTGGTTACAAAGATCTTCAAGGAACTACTTTCTCGGATTAATCAACTCTTCCCCATTGAAGGGGTAAAATGGATCGCTTCGGATCAATGGGACAAGCTTCCCCCAAGGGAAAAGCTGAAATCTGCGGCAGTAAATTCCCGATGCACTCAACTGAAGTACTGGATTGCTGATCAACACGTAGTTTTTTGCACCATGAAGAAGAACGAGAACAACTGTGTGGTTGCATTAAAACCCAATCTAAAAGCAAGCTATGGGATTATCAATGAGATATTTCAACATTCTCGAGTTACACCAAGCAATGTAGCATTGACCGACACATGGGTGGCTATTAGGCCCTTGATACCAGTTCCCTTAAAAGGTGATCCATTTGCCCAGTTTTCTGATTACAGCATCTACCTTTTGTTAAGAAGAATAGATCATTCCAACATTTTTGTCTTCCACATCAGCGAAATCTTGGCACACTGTGCCTGGATGGAGTACAAGCCCGGTGAAGCAATAAGCGGAATAACCGAAAATTGTATTGCCCTTGTTTGCCTTGATCGATCATGATAAGGAACACAAATATTTCTAGTTATTTTTTTTATAGTTTGTTTCCCTAGTTTCTGATCTTACTCTTCTAGTAGTTCTATTTCTTGAATGTCCAAGTTTTGCTCTCAAAATATTTTCAAAAAAGAATTAACATGGGAATCAATGCAAATGTTCACGAGTGAGTAATTAGGACTGAATTATCTATTTTCTCCTCATTGGAGTGTGGGCACCGCCCCACAGTAGTCCAACAAAGGGGACTTAGCTCAGTTCAATGTAAGTACCAGCCTCCAAATTAAAGTGGCATTCTTGGATCTCCTCGAAAAACCCCACTCATCATTGTGGTCATGTTATACGTACCAATTATTAAATTTGAAAGTTTATAACTAAGCTCATCAACATGTATCAAACTTTTCCATACACAATTCAGGGATCGGCAAAACAATTCCTTATCAATATCTATGAATTTCCACTACTACAGCTGCATCACCTTGTCCAGACTGTGCATAGTTTTGTCCATCAATCGGAATGTCAAGTTGGGCGCTTTTCTTCCAAATAGTTCATTTATCTTTGTGACTTAGTTGCATGGAAGATCAATCAATACAAAATGACACCTAGATGGCCTTTCCATCGAACGAGTTGATCATGATGGCACTGCATCTCATCACGAATATCGGTGGCACCTGGCAGCCCCAAAATTGTGCCCATTTTACAATATGGGCACCTCGACATGTCAAGCACTCCCCTTTCAAGCCTCAAGGTGGCAACGTCAGACCAACTGGCTACGATTTTGATCAAACAACCCTGCACCATTACACAGAATCTTTAGACTGATACAATCCCCCCCCCCCAGCTCATAAAATATCTGTCTGTCTAATATTAGATACGTGTTCAACACTTATTTTTCATTGCATACTCCATAGAGACCTCTGACGATACAAATACATTATTAGATTCTATTCTTCCCCAGCCTAGCTACTATCATGCAACCTTTTGATCCTTATGACAAAAAGAATGTTCACGAGTCTCAATTGTTGGACTATCTTAGAGGGTGTGACAAGAAGATTATCATACCTACTTCAACCAAGGTTAATGTACTCAGGCGAATGGTTGCCGAGCGAATGAAGGCCGCAGGTGTGGCATCTTTTTAAGTATACTTATATTAATAATTTTTTATTTCCACCTGACTAGATCATATTTATTTTGGTAGGTCAAGATGAGTTATATCGTGCCAGCCATACAGACCCAGAGGGCCGACGAAGAAGCTCTCGGATTCAGGCCAAGGAATTATTAAGTGCACAAGACACTGGAAGTAGTAAGGGAGGGGCCAACTGTTGGCAAGGCTTGCCGGTGTCAAGAGCAAAACCAAGAAAATGCAAGTTTTGGATCAAGAAACTCTTCAATTGTGCTTACAATCTGGCTGATCAATCTGCAGCTCATTGCATCATATATAATTTAGATCCCGAAATGAAGAACCAGTCGATGACTCTTAGAACTCAAGTTCCACCGCATCAGAAACAACTGCCCAAGACTCAGACTCCGCCGAATCAGAAACAGCCGGCCAAGACTCGGGCTTCACCGCATCAGAAACAGAAACCAAGATGTACGTACCTGATCAATTAATGAAGCCAGAAAATCTCAAAATTGAAATGCATATTGCTCCCAATGCAACAGCACGTCCAGGCGGCCCCAAACTTGATTGGCCTTCAAAGATCTGCATTAATCGGCCAAAACAAAAGCGAGACAACCCAGTCAAGCTCAAATCAATCACATCAGAATTCCCAGGTATGTTCTAATAATTTCACCAATGATATTGATCCTCAGTAAGCTTGTAGATGCAATCCACTGATGTCACTCAAAATTTTTAAACCCTTTTGAACTTGACTGCTATCTATTTTAGACGAGAAGTGCGGCAAAAAGGTAGTGATTAGCAATACCTCAGACAATGCTACTCAATCTACTGGTAGATCATCCTCAGATGAATTGTCCGATTCAACCGATGATTCAGAAGAAGGCGAACTTGGCAGGATTGCAGAAATGTCCATCTCTGATGATAATTCTGAACGATTGGAGCTCTCCTCATCGGATGGTCAGAACTTATCAATCGAAGAATTCATGACTGACCTTGGCGATAATGATGGTAAATCCGACCAACTTGCTGAAGTCTCTACAGCAGTGGTCAACTTGGGCACTCCAACCACCCTTTCCAAGTTCGATCATCTTCAATTATCTCCAGAGATCCCAGACCTCCCGTCACCTTTGTGCGCTCCACCGCCAGTCCTCTTGTCCAACAATCCCGAAACACCAACCTCAGAATTCAATGAAGGCGTTGCTGGTCCATCAAACCTAGTCCCCAGTCTAGACCTGGGATTTCTCGAGCCAATCTTTACTGAGCAGCGGGAGGCAATGTCAAAGTTTGCCCATGATATTGCAGAACTGGTTGATATTGCGATTGACAAGCTCCGAGAACAGAGCCCCAATGGGTGTCAGGATGAAGCAAATGATACCATCTCCCAGAACAGCTGGGTACATGTTTCTACCGACAAGCAGCCATGTGTCTTAGCCACTGCTCAGAATCCTGATTTGTATTTGGATCGACATCCAATTAAGAGTAACGTCCAAGACAAAGAAGATAACAAATCTTTGGAAAACGACACAATTCATGGTAAGAACAGTTGATCATAATAAGTAATTCAGAATCATTATGATTTGGCTAACCATTTTGTTTCAATAGATGAAATCAGCTCAACTTCGTCCATCATTGTGCATTTTGTAAGTCCAGTACCTGAAAGGGAGCTGAAAACCATGAGAATTTCTTCATGCTTTCTTAACATTGTTTCCAATCAGCAGAGCTCTTGTCAAGAAAGGAGATCGCCCGAGGGATCCATTGCCACAGGGGGCTCTGAAATGGGTTTTGAAGCCACTTCTAGAACCGATGAAGTTGATGGTAAGAGTGGTTCATGATCAATATTCTTTCTCAAAGTCGTCATGAGATACGCATAATCAATCTGATTAGTTTATATCAACTTTTAACATAGATGATATTGCTTTGGAAAGCACGAAGAGTGATCACAAAGAAGCAGCCACCGAATTTTTCCAGACAGGTCAAATTTGCGGTAAGATTTGAGATATTCTTTTCAAAATTGGTAATAGTCGACAAGAAAGCTGATCCATGACACGAGTTTCTAACAGATGATAGAAACTCAAAGCAGGCTGCCGATTCTCCAAACTCACAACCTGCAGGAGGAGCATTTGCGCCTGGGCTTTCTCCACTTCCTTTGGACCGAGCAGCACCTCAGGTTCACTTCAATTCTGAAATCTCTGCCATGCTTTCATTGGAAGAGGCCCTGCTTGATACTGACTTTCATGATCGTGTATAGCTAGATTTTAATTCACATACTGAGTGAACATTGATTTTTATGATCATATATAGCTAGATTACAATTCATTCTATCCTTTACATGGCCTGCCATTTGGTCTTAACCCTTCATTGAATTACTGATCACATAAGATCACTCGTTGACAAGAGAATGTCTGTTGTGAATTTCCTCTCCTTCTCTTATAATAGCGTTAATTGACAACTCAATCTAGATAGTTCAGGTATCATGCGGATGCATATCCCTTCATTACTGTGTTCGCAAGCAGGTAGAATTTTGAAAAATTTCAAAATTCATTACAAGAGCATTTGCACCTTTTTTTCTGAATTGGCAGGCGGAGAGATTGAGAAGCACTTATTTGGCAAAGAGCCTCATATAATATGTAAACAGATTTCCCACAAAACAAGCATGCATATTTTTTGATTGAATATATAAACTAAGGTTCGATTGGAGACAATAATTTTAAAGTTGGGCATATTCATTTAATCAATTTATCTAAATGGTGATGCACACCGCCAAAGTAAACATCATCTCTTTCAGCATATTCACCATTCTGATATTTTTTACAAGCATTGCTAGCCTTCGTGGCTACTTGTAGAGACAAACCAAGTTTAGTGAAATGCTTGGTTTCTGATGGTTTTAAAGTACCATGTACATACTCTTGGGCTCGAAAGATGATCAGACAAACCGTTTGGGGATTGAAGTTTAAAGCCACACGGATATCGCGGAATATAAATTGACCATTTTGGACGTTATACCCCTTTGGAGCAAACTCTCCGGTTTTTTTGGAAGTTGGAAGTACCATAGCAAACGCAAGAGGCAATTCGGAATCATCACCGTCGTCCTTGTGTTGGTGATTGTAAAATCCGTTTGATGAATACGCAAGGTTGGACGCAAAACCGAAGGGGGACTGATCCTCGGGAGATTTTGGAAAGTTCTTATCGGCAAAGGAGGGGATTCCGAACTGATCCATGTACGCCTTGTTTTTTTCAACCGCCACGTTCCCAAACCCGTGAAAGAAGTTCCAAAGGATTCGACCGGCTTTGGATGAATCCTCCATAAGCGCTTCGTAACGTGATGGATTTTTCTTGATAGCTTGCTTGTTGCGATAGCGACCAAGAATTTCAAGACCATCGTAAGCCTTGCGCCAACCAATCGCCCACATAATCCCACCACATTTTCGAGTTTTTGAAGCGACCGGATAAATAAATTCTTTGCATCGATGAAGGAAGAGCGTAAGAAAGTTGAGATCATCAAACTGTCCAGCTGGCATTGAATCAATGGGCAAGTAATGCACCATGGCTATGATCTGATTGGTGGATTCATCGTAAATTTTTGTATAACCGTGTTTGATTTGCTTGAAATTCTTCTGAACGTAATCCAATGCGGCAGCGTTTTCGGCGTGAGTGGGATTCCGAGGGATTATCTTTCGGGTACGAGGTTTCCGCACGTGCTTTGGATCAGCTTTGTGAGCATCGAGCTGTTCCTTGTAAGCCTTAACCCGTTCAAGAAGCTCGGCAGTGATATTGGGGAACAGATCAATGGGTTTCACGCGTTCTTTGATGATATTGATGCCTGATGGTGGAGGCTCATTCGTCACTGTTTCAGCGCAAGCGGTCTCTCTTTTATTCTTCCGTCTTTTCGCCAGAAATTCATTTCGCTTTTTTCGCTGATGAGCATTCAACCTTCAAAAGTTTCCATTCATTATGAGGCCGTAATGGGCTCAAGATGAGAGAAACATTGAAAATCAAACACCAACAGTTTCCAAAGCAAAATGGCATATCCGTTGTAAATATTGAAGATTATGAGAGACCGATGCAGGGGAAGAAGAGAGCAAGCCAGAAATGATCAGCATAGTTTCACCTGATGATTCAATGATCCAAAATACCAACGAAGATGTAGATTTTATCCTTGGAGGCGGTGAAGCAATTTGTGAGGGCTTGGGGGGACCCAGATCTTTATTGACACTGGAACGTTTGAGGCGAATGATGTTAACCATGATGCAATTGATTATTGAATTTTTCCTGGTAGATTGATATAAGCAGAGGTTGTGAATCAATAAAACAGATCAGTGAAGTATGCGAGTGAAGAAACAATATCTAACCTACTTGATTAGTTGAAGCAATCTTGATCGCGTAAGGGGTAGTGAAGCGGTTGGACTCAAGGACGGCTGGTGAAGCGTTTATACGTTTAGGGCACTGGTGATCATGCAATGAGGAAGAAAGTCCTGGTTAACTTAGTTAGAAGTAGACAATTGTTAGCTATGCTCAAGGACGGAAAGCAGAGCTTGTTTAGACAAGAACTCACATAAAAGGTAATCCTGATGGGAAGAACTATGTTAGGAGCCAGGAACGTTCAATCTTAGGAAAATTTATTTTCTGGAGGAGAGTATGTTCAGCGAGGAGGGCACGGGAGAGCAGAGATAGGTTAGACAAGAACTCACACAGAATGAACTTCTTGATTTTCTGGGGGGGGGGAATATGGGGATCGAGGAGGACTGGAGAAGTACTGATCTGAGGGCAGCAAGCAAAAATGGTCTCGGTCTCTGTGAAACGTGGAAGGAGGTGCGTCACCGTTGTCACCGTTGCGGAGCGCAGCCTGACCATTGCTTCCTGGGCTTTTCGGGCACCGGGGGACGAACAGTCTGGCTTCCACCCCGTCTACGTCGTCCAGCCCAACCACCAGTCATCAGACCAGCTGCTGCAGTACAACATCACAACTATCATCCTTCCGCTGAACGATCGCCTCCAACCAAATCTTCTCATTCCCAATCCTCTCAACCTTCGTCTTCTCGCTCCCGTCAAGTTATTGCCCTAGCCATGATCTGCCGTTCAATAACTCGCGACGAGATGAAACCAATGGTGCAGGAGGTCCTTGGGCCTCTAGGACAAATGTGAGTATCACTCACGCCCAGTCTCACTATCATCTCATCTTAAGCTCACAACTGATCATCACTTTCTCCCTTCAGCTCGGACGTTGAGATTCTATCATTCGAGGGTCGAAGGTTCATCAATGTCGTCCTGCTCATCACCTTCAAACGATTGAGTCCAGCTCGAGAGGCTTGTTCGAAACGCCGGTTTCGGGTACCTTCGGCCTATCACTATCACGACTACGATCCAGTCGTCTTCGAGAACACACCACAACGACATATTTCGTCGGATACCGGCCCATCCCAGAAGCCATCTGAGAACTCGAATACTCCCAGTCACTCCTCCGATCAAGCCCCTCAACCTATCTCCTCCCCCAATAATTCCCACCATACTTCTGAGTGTCCACAAATCGAGGAAACAGATCAACTCTATTCGAGCCCTGACCGCAAGCCAATTAACGCCAAAGCCAACGCCGAAGCTGCCGAATGCCCCCGGGATGTCGGTGCCGAGCGGTGCCGTCGGCCTGTTCATATGTAGATCCACCATCCACGACGACAGCCTTCACCTCACTTCCTCAAACATCGAAAACCATCAACAAGATTTCGGCCGGAGCGGCTTAAACCAATGAGCAGCCGAGAGCAACTGATGTACAGACTATAGTTCATCATTCATGTGGATTGGTGCCCATCCCAGCCCTGAGCCGGCCAAACAAACCCAAACGCACTCCATGTACCCACTCGCACAACCTGAACCGCCCTGCCGGCGTTGTCCGATCGGGCTTGGTTTGGAGGCTGCGTGGATGGCTGGACATCGACAGAAGATGGCACATCGACATCGACCAACCGCGCGCCTCTGCGAGTCTGCTGTATGTATCCTCAAGTAGTCTGTACCACAGCCCCAGCTCGATAGATATATCCGTATAGCCAACCTTGGATTCCTGATATTTTCTTGAAGGGTTGTCCTTGATCCCAAATCCTCTCTTCCTCTCAATCCTTCACTTCAACCTTCTTGCAGACCAGCTGAACGCTATACCTACGATTCAAGCGGAATAGCCATGCTTAGACGTGAGTGTGAATGGGCCATATGCTTCGCTTGGTAGAAGCATTTGATCATCTTCGAAGAGTCTCATACTGATCCTGCTTGATTTATCGGTTGGTCTCTCTTATAAGGCTCTTACTCTCGTCCGGATCTCGCCTATTCCCGGCCTGGAATCGTCGAACGAACGGGTGGCAGCTATGACTTGGGTAAATAATTCTTGACTTCAAACTTCCTACCTGCCGATAGAAAATATTGGGTCACAGGAAAAGTGAGTACAAGCCATTATTGATCTAAGAATTAAACATTATGTAGGCGGTACATGGCGACCAGCGAATTATGGGCCTTACACGCTGCGTTTCAACAATCACGCATACGATCGCAACCTTCATGCGTGTTATTATAACCTAGAGGATGGTAGGTTTCGTTGAATTCACCCGGCCTCTGTACTGCTTTAAATAAGCTACCCCCGTTCAATCTGTTGATAACTGTTCATAACCACCTCGGGCAATATCCACAAATCTAGATTATTATGGCTCTTACGGTGATCTCCTTGAATACGAGGTACGCAACCGTGAAATTTCAGGATGTGATATATCATTTTATTCACAACCAAACCTGGATCGCATTGTCATAACGATTTCTATAGGCAGCCTTACGAATGAATCGACAGCTTACTGAGCAAGAACGTTTGCGACGCTGGCGAATGCGAATGGCGTTCGAAGAGCTAGAAGAGGCTGAGCGAATGCGACGCTACCGATCGATGGCCCATGTATGAGATCTTGCCTGTAAAAATCATTATAAATATCTTTGCAAGTGCTGATACCGCAGAGGGTGTTCGCACAGACCGATCGCTTGCTTCTCGGCCTCTCCGATCATTCCTGGTGGGGAGAGCGTTACGGGAGCCACCCTTTTCATCACCGCCCAGACTGGCGCAGCCGGTTTGCAAACAAGATCCGAAGATGGGACTCTAGCTTCCTCCCTCTTTCATCCTCTCTCAGTAATCGTTACGCACCCGTTTGGGCCGACTCGGGCAGTCTTGCTCTCAACAACGGCCGACATTTGGACTCGCAATTGCGCTACGCTCAGAACGGCTTTCGTAACGATCATCTGCTGGATGCTGAACGCCGACTCGATCAAGACATCCGATACCAAGAACTTAACAACACCGAAAGAAGGCTCGAAAATCAGGAAGAGTACCTTCGAGATCGAGTCGAAGATAACATCCTTCATGATCGAGAGAGAGCCCTGGAGAGCCAGATGATGGATAATGTGCTATATGAGCAAGAACGGAACTACGACAGAGACTTGATGTACGAGCAGGACCGCCGTCTGGACCGGCTCGAAGGCGAAGAAATGCTATACGACCAAGAGAGAAGATTCGAAAATCGGCTCGAGGAGGATGAGCTTTATCGTGCGGAAAGACGTTTGGACGATGATGCACGCTACCTCGAAGGGACTGAAATCCTAGATTCCGACTTGAGAGACCCGGGCATGGTGGATTACGATAGATACCCAGACATGCAGATGGGTCTCGATGATGACTTGGCAAGAAGAGAAATGGACGACGATTATCTCGAAAGGGAAAGGTTGGAGCGTGACTTGATGTATTGAGAGGTGTCGATATCCACAAAACTAACTACAGAAAGTGGAAAACAGTCCTACAAATTACTCTTAACCTACCATCAACTTGCCAGTCTATTGATTAGAATGGATGTAGAGCGATTGTTGCACATAGTCTCCAGCAATTCCTGGCTGAAAAGCATTTTCTCTGGCTATTTCTGTATGTACTAATAGAACCAGCTCCCGATTTTGTGGAGTGTTTGACTTCAGAGAGGTGACTGAGAAAGTGACCTGCCGCTTTGTTTGGCTCAAAAAAACGCCTATTTCTTTGGTTACATTGATCAGATATTCCGATGTTATCCTGTATCACTGTTTTGCATTTCAGCAGCTCTCATTATGTAGCATCCAAGGAAGCTTCTTAGATTGAATGCAATGCCCAGGCAGATGTTCACCAGATCTCAAACTCAGCACTGCAAGAGCAATGTGCTCCACTGGTGGCAGCTGACAGGCCATATTATAAAGACACCTTTATGTCATGAGTACCTCTGTGATATTGCATGCTATGAACTGAAGTCAGTAGAGTGAGGATTTTCAAGCAAAATTGTAGGCTTGACTGATTGCATGGCTGGTATTGCCTGGTAATGTGAGGGTTTTGAAAGTGGTGACTCCAAATTTTCAAGCCAAATTTTACACAGAAAAGGGTCATGTCAGATGGATAAGTTGCAATTGTTCATCCAAAGACTTTTCAGGTAATGCTTGAGAATTGTGTGAGTAGAGAATCAACTACACTGTAATTTTAGTGCTGGTCACACTACAGTTACAGCTGACCAAAATTTGGCAAAAGAGGTAGGTCTAGCTGTGGTGGGCCCCTAATTATTAGCGGTAGTGGACCACTAATTAGCTATAATGTAGCGTGGTTGAGTGTTAGTGAATTTTAGTGGGCTTCCACTGCACTGAAACCAAATGTCTGTAAGTGTAAGCTAGTGGCTCTGAGCTACACTAATGTTACTTAGTGTAGTTTGATGCATTGTTGAGAAGGGGTGCGAGCCATGCCTATGACATCGTCATCGCGGTCACTTTTGAGCAAACCAGCGCCGCACGCGAGGCTTTCTTTCGTCGGACGTTCGAGGTTCCAAGTCCATTTAGCTATCAGAAAAATTCCATCACCGTCCATCGCACCCTTCCTGGTACCCGCAACCAGCAACCGACACCGCGCCTATCCACCTCCCAGATAGACCTACCTCAGACCCCTCTTCCTGCTTCAATTACCCCCTCCCATCCCTCTTCTCCAGCGGATAATCCGACCTCCCGGTCGCTTACTCCTGCTCAAGATAAACCGCTGACCACTGAAGATTCCGGACCGGAGGAATTGGCAATGGTCATTGACACAAACGAACCTTGCATTAGCGTCAGTTTTTTTTCAATTTGTGAATTCAATGGATCCTATATTCAGCTGATCACCACCAACAATAACAACATAAATCCTCTACAGACTAGTCCGTCTTCGTCAAGCAGGTCGGTTGAGGCTTCCGTCGATCAGCTCCCCTGTGGCTCGAGGAGTGAATCAGCTCAAGCGGTTGACCAATCGGCTCAGATGGATGATTCGGCTCCAGAAGATGTGTGTGCGGTTATCTTTGATTTCAGTAAACACAGCTCAAGCTGATCTGATTTTTTCTTTCTTTTTTGCTCGCAGCAACCTCTCTGGGAACGTGTTGATAAGATCAAGCCCTCTGTCGATGATAATGTTACCTCTCGACCGTGGTCGCCAAGCTCTTTGGTGGTCTACGAGCGTCTAACGCCAGTCGCTCCGATTAAACCCCCACCTACTCGGCAAAAAGTACGATCGAAGACTGTTTGGATTAAAGGAACGTTCCGTCGGAATATTACGAATGATGAGGTCGAGGCATTTATAAGACAAATCTTTGAACCACTCGGGAAGATGTTAGTCTTTCTCTGGGGACGGAGGAGATCGACAAAGCCTCGGAGCTGATCGAGAAGAACCTATTCCTGCTGGGCGCGACAGCGATCGAGGATAAGCTACAAGTGGGCGCGCCCGATATGTTCTATACCCTCCAACTGGCCGGCATCAAGGTCTGGGTCCTCACCAGCGACCGTCAGGAAACCGAAATCAATATCGGCCTCAGTTGTTGTCTTATCTCCGAATCTATGAACCTCGTCATCGTCAATGAAGAGTCCGCTGACTTCATCCAGAAACGTCTTCTCTCTCTTCGGGCCGCTCATAAAAATCCTGCTGATTCTGAATCTTGATTTCAGATTTTGTTTTTGTCTTATTCTTTGCAGATGGGAAACGTTTGGGGTTTGCTTTGGACAAGTCAACTTCCAATATCAAAGGATCGATTACGCTAGCGATCGGTGACGGCGCAAACAATGTCAGTATGATCCAGGCCGCCCACTTTCAAGTTTAAATCAGTAAGCTTATTGACTCATGATTTTAATCTTAGCTACCTCAAATGAGTGGCATGATACTTACTGCAAAATGATGCACTTTACGATAACAATTTTTACAGCAACAGATGGGAAGTTATAAGTCACACTTTGGGATTTCATTATGAATTTGTTGAACCTCAGTACATGTACCCAATAAAAAGGAAAAAAAACATTTCCACCCCTCCTGCTTATCATAGACTAACCCAGTAAGTCCAATCTCATCTACCCCCTCCCAACCATCCGCGAAAATCAGTTACTAAAACCTTATCTGTCTCTTTTTTTCAGCCTCCTGACGCAATCTCAGCAGCCCGCATTCACTCCCCGATCAAAAAAAAAAAGAACATCATCCATCGATCCATCTGGACTTGTGATGGCACCCACGGTTCACAACAACCAAGAACAAAAAGAGCTCAAATCCTCAGAACCTGATAGTATCCTCATCTGATCCTCAAACCATTGGGCAGGTGCCTTGCCCGCCCCTCAAGGACTCTACGACCCCGACCAAGAGAAGGACTCATGCGGTGTCGGACTTGTCTGCCACATCAAGGGCCAACCCAACCATAAGATCGTCTCCGATGCTCGCTCCCTACTATGCAACATGTCCCATCGTGGTGCCACTGGCGCGGATGCTCGCAATGGTGACGGCGCTGGGGTGTTGACCGGAATCCCCCATGCGTTCTTCCTAAGAGAGGCCTCACTCCTCTCGATCGATCTCCCCGCCCAGGGTCGCTATGCGGTCGGAAACGTCTTCTTCAGACCGAACCCGCCCGAAGCGCTGATCGAGCACAAGGCCACCTTCGAAAGGATTGCGCTTACCCACAAGCTCAAGGTCTTAGGCTGGCGTGAATTACCCGGGAACAACTCTATCCTCGGCCCAGCTGCCCTCAGCCGTGAACCAATCATCCTTCAACCTATCGTGGTTCCAGACTCTAACGAACCGGACGCCTACTTTGATGAAAAGGAGTTTGAACGCCAGCTCTACGTCTTACGAAAACATGCCAGTCATGCCATCTCCCTCGCCGATTGGTTTTACATCTGCTCATTATCCAACAAGGTTATCATCTACAAGGGCCAACTCAGCCCTAGTCAAGTTTACGAATACTACTACGATCTCAACCATGTCCTCTTCAAATCTCATTTCTGCTTGGTCCACTCTCGATTCTCTACCAACACTTTCCCCTCCTGGGACAGGGCTCAGCCGTTGAGATGGGCCGCCCACAATGGTATGCAGTCCCTCCCTCCTATCATTATTTTATATAACTAAAACATCAACTCACACATCTCACCACCCATCTTTTTAACTCTGAACACAGGCGAAATCAACACAGTCCGTGGCAACAAGAATTGGATGAGGGCACGAGAGGGCAACTTGTCTTCTGATAAATTTGGTGATCAATTGGAATCCCTCTACCCCATCATTGAAGAAGGCGGGTCAGATTCCGCTGCTTTTGACAACGTCCTCAGTCGTCAATGGCGTCATGAGTCTCCCGTACGTACCTCCACATACATTATCACCCCCACACATTATACTGATCTCTCTCTCTCTTCATTGTCTACAGAGAAGCCATCATGATGCTTGTCCCCGAGGCCTGGCAAAACAACCCCAACATGGACCCCGCCAAAAGTGCATTTTACCAATGGGCGGCTTGTGTGATGTGCATTTTACCAATGGGCGGCTTGTGTGATGGAACCCTGGGATGGCCCAGCCCTTTTCACCTTCTCGGATGGTCGCTACTGTGGAGCCAATCTTGACCGTAACGGTTTACGTCCATGTCGCTGGGTGACCACAGACGAAGATCTGATCATCTGTGCATCTGAAGTTGGAGCGATCACCATTGCACCCGAAACGATCACCCGTAAAGGCCGTCTTCAACCCGGCAGAATGCTCCTGGTCGATACCCAAGAAGGTCAAATCGTCGACGACAAAGAGTTGAAGATGGCCACCGCTCAGAAAAAACCCTTCCGAGAGTGGATCAACAACCAAATGCTTCGTTTACCCGATATCCTCAAACACAACAAATCCATCAGCTCGACTCTACTTTCTGATACTCTCGATGAAACCCGAATCTCGGAAGATCCTCGTCTTCTGGCCTTTGGATATACGCTCAAACAACTTGACTTACAAGGGTGCCCAAATCTCTGAGGCCCGCGGTCTACACCAGACGGTAATCGAACAATGCTTTGTTGGGACAGCCAGTCGAATCCAAGGCACCACTTTTGAACTCCTCGCGTTAGACACGTTTGAGTTCCACGAACGCGGTTTCCCCTCTCGTCAAGTCGTCCAGCCGCCCGGCCTACCTGAATCCGGTGAATACCACTGGCGTGATGGAGGAGAAGCCCACATCAATGACCTGGTTTCGATTGCCAACCTGCAAGATGCCGTCCGGTCGAAGAACCAGTCAGCCTATGATGTTTATAGCCAGAACGCCCAGAAACAAGTCCGTGCGGTCACTCTTCGTGGGCTGCTCGATTTCAATTAAGAGAGTGCCCAATCAATCCCGTTGGAGCAAGTCGAGCCTTGGCATGAACTCGTCAAGCGTTTCTGCACCGGCGCCATGTCCTACGGTTCCATCTCCCAGGAAGCTCATAGTGCTCTTGCAATTGCCATGAATCGACTCGGCGGGAAATCTAACACCGGCGAGGGCGGAGAAGATGCTTCTCGTTCTCTCATCATGCCCAACGGGGATACCATGAGGTCGGCTATCAAGCAGGTTGCTTCCGGCCGGTTCGGTGTTACTTCAAACTATTTGGCCGGCACTGACGAGCGTTAGTATCTTATTTTCTTTTGATGTCATCCACTCCAGAGTGCTTAACAAAGGTTGCATTTTTTTATTACAATCTAGTGCAAATCAAAATGGCCCAAGGTGCGAAACCTGGCGAAGGAGGAGAATTACCTGGACACAAGGTATCCGAATCGATCGCCAAGACCCGTCACTCGACTGCCGGGGTTGGCTTAATTTCCCCACCACCGCATCACGACATCTATTCGATCAAAGATTTGAAACAATTGATTTACGATCTCAAGTGTGCCAATCCGCGGGTGCAGGTTTCGGTGAAGCTAGTGTCGGAAGTCGGAGTTGGTATAGTTGCATCTGGTGTCGCAAAAGCTAAAGCTGATCATATTTTGATCTCAGGTCATGATGGTGGTACAGGTGCATCCAGATGGAGCGGCATCAAGTATGCCGGTCTCCCCTGGGAACTCGGCCTGGCCAAGACCCACCAAACTCTGGTCTTGAACAATCTTAGAGGCCGAGTCTGTCTCCAGACCGACGGCCAGATCCGAACCGGTCGTGATGTCGCCATCGCTGCCCTCCTCGGCGCTGAAGAGTTTGGTTTTGCCACCACCCCTTTGATCGCTATGGGCTGTATTATGATGAGACGTTGTCATCAGTCAGTCAACTCTTCCATCATTCGATGCCTTGATCAAAGATGATTAATCTTTTACTGACTGGTCTTCCTTAATACCACCCAAAACATTACGCTTCTTTCTTTCTCCCCAATCGTAGAAATACTTGTCCCGTCGGAGTGGCCACCCAAGACCCAGTCTTGAGGGCTAAGTTCACTGGGCAGCCGGAACACGTGATCAACTTTTTCTATTACGTCGCTGAAGAACTAAGGACCCACATGGCCAAACTCGGTTTCCGGACCTTGAATGAAATGGTTGGGCGGACCGATCTCCTCAAAGTGGATGAAACCCTTCGCAACCCCAAGACAGTTAACATTGATCTGAGTGCGGTTCTCAAACCTGCTTGGAAGATGCGCCCTGGAGTAGCCACATTCAAGACCAAGCAACAGGATCACAAGATGTACACCCGTCTGGATAACAAATTCATCGACGAAGCCGAACCGGCGCTTGCCAAAGGCCTGCCCGTTCGGATCAAAGCCGACGTGAAAAACACAGACCGTGCCCTGGGTACTTCTTTGGCCAACCGCGTCTCAAAGGCATACGGCGAACAGGGACTCGAACGGGACATTATCCATGTCGACCTCCGAGGCTCAGCCGGTCAATCCTTAGGAGCCTTTTTAGCCCCGGGGATCACTCTTGAGTTGGAGGGTGACGCCAACGACTATGTTGGCAAGGGCTTGTCGGGTGGACGTCTGATCGTCTACCCACCCCGGTCTTCTCCCTTCAAGGCTGAAGAAAATGTGATCGTCGGTAACGTCTGTCTCTACGGTGCCACCTCTGGCAAGGCCTTCTTCCGAGGGATTGCTGCCGAACGGTTTGCAGTCCGAAACTCGGGCGTGATCGCCGTCGTCGAAGGGGTGGGTGATCACGGTTGTGAATACATGACTGGTGGCCGGGTTGTCGTCCTGGGTTCGACCGGTAGGAACTTTGCAGCTGGAATGAGTGGCGGTATCGCGTACGTTCTAGACATGGCGCGTGACTTCAAGAACAAGGTCAACTCGGAAATGGTTGAACTGTGAGTATGTATTTGGCGCACGAGAATTTCTTGAATCTTGTCACTATCGAGAAAATCAAGCTCACCCTGATTTCATGACTCTCTCTCAGGGGCACGGTCAATGACCCGTCCGAAATTGCTGAACTACGTGGGATGATCGAGGACCATCGTCATTTCACGAAATCGGAGCAAGCTGTCCGAATTCTCCGAAACTTCAATGAATTCCTGCCCCGCTTTGTCCGGGTCATGCCCTTGGACTACAAGGCCGTCCTCGAGGCTGGTGCCAAAGCAGCCATCCAGTCCGATCCTCACAAAAATATGCCCGGTTTTGACATCAAGGGTGATGCATTCAACCCGGCGGAGGACAAGGCAAATACAAATGTGAACGATCAGGTTGAGATCCCCTCGGCCACGCTCGGCCATTCTGAACCTCCTGTGGTCGATCTCGAGGACTCGATGTTGGATGCGGAGAGTGCCAAGAAGATTGTCGAAAAGCTTGACAAGACCAAAGGGTTCATGAAGTATAAACGGCTCAACGAGAACTACAGGAACCCAAAGAGTCGGACGGTGGGGTTCCCTTCTGCCCATGTCAACTTGAGAAAAAATCATCATCCCAGAAGAAAAAAAAAACTGACAAGAATATAGTCCTTCTAATCAACTAACTTAAGTTTTTTTATTTCAATCTTACCTTTGTTTTATTTTATTGTTTCTTTTCTTTTCCATGATCAAAAATCTGAGATGGCTCACTCTTGAATCATGATCAAGTACCCTCTCTGCAAGGAGAATCTTCTCACAGAAATCTGACTGTCCTTAATTAGCATTGTATTTATTACAAATTTAGCAACCACTGCTTATAATGAGAAAATCAAGTAAAAAAAGCTCTACATTAGCTTCCATTTCATTATAAAGCTTAATCAATCATGCACACAATCATTATTTCTAAAGGCTTCCATTTCTGCACAGAAATAAGACTTATATAGTAATCTAATTAAATATTGATTGAAATAAATAACATATCATTATACATTGCTCTATCATTGTGTCACATGACAAGATTGCTGTTATAACTGTTATATGCCACTTAATCATTGGGGTGTTATGTTGCTCTTTATCACTGGTATTGTATACACAATGCCAAAAATGACAGATGTTATTTGACATAACTGTTATTATAACTGTTATTATAACTGTTATATTGCTCATCATTTGGGTGTTATGTGGGGGAGATGTAAAAAAGTGATCACTACTAGGTATCCCCCATATCCCCCAAAATTTTACTTGATATCCCCTATGGAGAAATGAGTAAGGCATGAAGTGTTCAAACCGAGGTTTGTACAGGAAAATGGTTTTCACTCTTTTTGTATCTTGCAATCCCAAGACAATGGTTTCTGATTATCAGTTTCTTTCCCTGCTTTGTTTGGTAGTCAAGCCTCATTGATTGCTTGGTACGAGGACGATCTGGTGGTCGGTCATTTTTCTTGCTTATCTGGTCAGTCGGTCCTGTCTAGGTCGACTGAGGCCACAGCTTGGTATTCAGAGAGATACCGACCTCGAGTTGAACTGATTGAATCTCGAGGTCGATCTGCATAGTGGAAAGAAGGTCGACCTCGAGCTGGAGGAGATTCAAACCGAGGTTTGTACAGGAAAAGGGTTTTCAATCGATATCGATCTCAAGGTGGAGTGGATTCAGCTGGACAACTGCTCATTGGACATGAGCCCGATATGAAAGCTAAACTAAACCTGTTGTTGTTTTTTTGCGCCTGATCTGGAACGGTGGCAATCTGTAGGTAAAAGATTGCTTATGACGCGTTGGTAAAGAAGGGCGCCGGAACGTATTAGTATTGAGTCATTCTAGCGGTGATTCGACTGAGATAAACCGATCTTGACAGCAGTCTTCTGTGGTGTTTCCTTTCTGTGAGTGATTTTCATAAGTTGTCTGATCTTCGTTCATTGAATGAAGCGTTGACGATAGTTTTTCGGTTAATGAAGTTTGTCTCGTGCAAAGGACAATCAACGGATTTGTATGTCTGCTCCGTCACTGTCACTCTTTTCTTTGTTTGATTTCATTGGTTGCCCCCAATAGTTAGCTCAGTGTTGACTGGCTGACTAGTGTTGATCTTTGTCTTTGGCTGGCAATGAACCAATCTGTAGGGCAGGCTTCTGTTGTGTGGTCTTTTTCTGGGTAAGTTTCATAGCTACTTCTTTGTCAAGTCGTACTCTGCTTTGTGGTCAATGGCTCACTGCTCAAACAAGGCCTTCAACTCGCAAAGAAACAAGGTTGGCTTTTGCTTCGAGTGTTCTTGATTGATTCTAATGTTTGTCGCTTTGGAGTTTGGTTTTGGCACTGACGACATGAACTGGTTAAACTGCTGTCTTTTTTGTATAAAGCTCACTGCCTGCGGATATCTCAACTCAAATCAGGTCGGTCGGAACTAGTAAACCAAGATCGCTGTTTGGACCTCCCTTGATCGCGAGGTCTAGGGTGGAGTTTCGATTTTTGGGTGTAAGGCTTCACTATCCGTTGGGGACTCTCACTCTGTGTTGGAATTTTCTCAGTTTACCTCCTATCTCCTCCTATCTCCATTCCTTTTTCCTTTTTTCTTTCTCTCTCCGTTGTCTCGATCTCTCTACTCTACTCAATTCTCATCTCACTTCTCTTGCTCTCTTCATACACTGTCCTATACACTCCCGATCAAACGTCTTCTTAAAACAAACGCCTCATCCTCGTCTCCAACGCCTCGTCCTTGCCATCTTCTTACACCGACTCTATCAAACACCATGGAAACAACCCTACTCAGACACACCATCAACCACAAGCCGAACGAGTCCCTTCCTTCAACCACAAGCTGAACCGGTCCTCAATGCAGTATAAATATCCCATTGTTCTTCGCTCTCTCGTCCTCTTTCCCCTAGCAGTCTCCGACAATCTAACCCTCGACACACTCCTCTCAAATCCTTAAAACAAAAACTGCTCAACTATCTTCTACAACTCCTTCACCAACTTCTACCAACCCTCTTCGACAATTCCCCTCATCATTCTTCTCCGACTTCGCTTCTTCTTCTCTCTCATTCTCTATCTTCTTTCCCTCTTCTCTCTCATTGTTCAATCTCAACGTCGACGACTCCACATACTGTCGACGTCTATTCAACCACCTCTCATTCTCATTCCGCCGACTCTCTCTCTTGAAATATTCACTTGGCTTTTGCCAATTTGGTGAGAAAAACATACTGAATCGATCAATATTAACCTTCTTTTTTATCTTTCTTATTTCAAAACAGTGTTTACTACTTGTCCTTGTTTGATCTACTATATTTCAGTCTCTCTGTTCTGTCTAATTCAAAAGACAACTCTTCTCGTGGTAAATCTCTATTTCTCTCGAGTTCTTACTTTCTCTTACTTTTGTTTTATTTCTGTCTTATTGATTTTTTTGTCTTTTGCTTTGTCAGTTCTGGTTCTAGTTTCAATCATAATTCCTGTTTTTCATCACGATTAACAGTCGAAGCGATTTCGAACAAAACCTCATCCTCTCAACCCAGCCAAATGTCGAACAACATTCCGAAAACCTCTCTCGCTTCCAACCAGAACACCTCACAGAACAACCCAATGGAGAAAATTAGCTCCACTATACTGAAAACAGCTCTCGAAGCCATTCCGCTCCTCACTACCGACAACTACACTCTATGGCGAAACCGAGTGGACAACATGCTGGACCTACAAGGACTTCGAGCATCATTGACTGAAGAAACCGGCACTCTTTCGGCCACAGACGACGTTCAACTTCGAACAATCATCACATCGAAGTTGGATTCTTCCATACAACCTAATGTTATCAATCATGAAAACGAAAAAAATGCTCGTAAAATCTGGGAATCAATCACTAATTATTTTGCGTCAACACAGCCAGCCAACCGAGCAAGAGTCTTCAATGAACTCCTTGATCTGAACTTCAACACCTCAGACATCCAGTCCTTTATCACGTCTGTCCGAACCATCAACTCTCGATTGTTTGAAATAGGGATCGATCTTCCTCAAGACCTGGTTGCATACATCCTCCTCAAGAAGCTTCCTTCGGCTCTGATCAACGTCAGTCAGCAAATAACTCATTCTGACAAACCTCTCACCAGTGATCTTGTGCTTGATCACCTCAAGCTCTTCAACAACGATCAGTCAGCCATAGCAAATCGCTCTTCAGGTACAAGAAATGATCCGATTGCTCTCTATTCAGATGCATCGAAGAAATGCAAGAAGACCGCCCACAACGTAAATCACCCAGAAGCGAAGTGTTGGATGTTATATCCTCACCTCAGGCCAGCCAGCGAGAACAGAAATAATCGCACAGAAGCAATGGTCAGCAGCTTTCACTCGTTTCTTTCTCAATCCTCGTCTCAGTTCATTCTAGATTCAGGATCTTCTGCTCACATGGTTTCAAATGTCAATCTCTTTTTTGCTCTTGATCGCACAGAAAAAGGATTAGTTCATACCAGTTCAGGAAAAGACCCTCTGCAAATCAAAGGATCTGGATCGATAAGGCTCATCAACGAGTTTGGGACCATCATTCTCCATCATGTCCTATTTGTTCCCGATCTAGTAGTCAATCTGTTGTCTGTTCGATGTTTAGTATTAGATAATTACTGCGTTGAATTTTCAAAAAACACCTTTTCTATCTTTAAACATGGAGAGCTTAAAATGAATGGTCACTACACTTGCAATCTACCAAGTCTTTCTTTTGCAAATGATAATCATCAGTCACACTTCTCATCAGCCGAGAATCTTCATAGATCTCTTGGTCATATAAGTTATCACAGATTGAGACATAAGCTCGGTATACCATTGAAAAATGAAAAAATCTGTGAAGCCTGTTCACTAGCAAAAATCACTCGAGCATCATTCAAATCTAAGCATCCTCCAGCATCAAAGCCCTTTGAAGAAATCCACTTAGACTTGATCGGTCCTATCTCTCCAAGCTCTAGAGAGGGTCACCGATACATATTGACCATTGTTGACAGTCACACCAGATTCTGTTCAGCAATTCCTATCAAAGCTAAGAGTGACGTAGCCTCTGTTCTATCGGATTCAATAAATCTTGAAGCTAAGCGGTTCGGATACTACCCGTCCGTGATGCACTCTGATAGAGGAACAGAGTTCTTGAATGTAACCATGAAGGAATTCTGTATTCAACATCTCATTCGTACTCGGACATCAGATCCTTATACTCCACAACAGAACGGTCTCGCTGAACAACACAACAGAACGATTCTGGAGTCACTCCAAACCATCCTCAAAGATTCTGGATTCTCTCATCGATTCTGGAGCGATATCGTCAAGGTCAGCACTCTCACCCTTAATCAAATCCCGGCTCATAAAAGTAAAAAATCACCCTTCGAACTATTCAAGAATCGCTCAATACCCATTGATTTCTTTCGACCTATCGGTAACAGGGTATCTTATCTCATACTTCCTCAAAAACCCGCCTCAAAGCTCATGCCCAAGGGAGGACTTGGGACTCTTCTTGGGTACAATGACGAGATACAATCGTACAGGATCCTAAGCGACAATGGGAAGATTGTTGAAACAAAGAGTGCTCGATTCTTAGATCAAATGAAGAAGCCAGAAAACAATCAAGATGAAGATTTTGAGATCGTTG